GTATTTCCCATTGTTCTACTCTGATGTTGGTTAACAAATTAAAATTGTATCTTTTTTTTTCTCCTTATGATGAGTCTGTCTTTTGCCTGTGACCTGCTTAAGTGATGAGAAGCCCTCCCAGTCCTTATTTTGACTAGCCCTTTTTTGGGGCATCGTGGTGCTCAGTTATGCACTGGGCCTTAACCACAACACCCATCACTCCACCAGGCGATGCTGTGTCCAGTGCAAGCCAACCCCAGAACCATCTCCAAGAGGTCAGGTGCTGCCACGGAAGTTACCTATGGCGAACTCGTCAAAGGTGACAGTGGTGGAGTTTTTGCCCAGAGCATTCGTGACTGTCAGAGTCACCTTGTACTTCACTGTCGAGAAGAGATGGAGGTATCTGATGTGACACCTGTTTTTGGGAAAGGCATCCTTCTCGCAGACCATTTCTTTCGTGCCGTGTCTGGAAAGCAGAGGGGAGAAGAGCTGTTACCAAAGGCATGCTTTCCTCCTGCCAGGGAATTATGCAGACTTATGTGTGTGAGGTTTTGTCCTAAGCCTGCACAAAGACTGCCGTAAATGTCCTCATTCTGGCACCAAGGAAAAGGACAAGACCCTGCTGGGTTTGGGGCTGGCTCTGTTCCTCCTATGAGAGGAATGGGGTCTCCTCTCTGCTGATGACACAAGCTCTAGAAGATAATGCATGGTATCAGCCTGTATAAGGGCTGTGCTAGGACCTGGGCATAAGGTGGAGACAATGCCATGCCATGGCCAGCCCTAGGCTGCTGCCCGGCCTCTGCCAATGCATGGCAGAATGGAGTGTGACTGTGCCAAATGAGCCAAAAACCAGCACGCACAACCTCCACTGTGGACAAGTAGTGCAGAGAGGATGGACCTGGGGGCTATGGAAAGGGGACCTGGGAGCTGGGGACTGTCCTGGTCCACTCTGGGGGAATTGCAGCTTTCCTGGGACAAAGCCCCGGTGTCAAGCATCCAGTTTGGATGTCCCTGGAGCATCCTTCCCCAGGCCCAGTTTTGGTACAACAACTCCCTACGGTCAGCACAGGTCAGACCCACTGCCCCAGGACTTCATGGCACCACTTGGGACCTGCTCCAGGCTGCAGGGACAAAGACTTGCCCCACCCCCCCGCACTCTTCCTCCCCGTGCACTTACATCACGGAGATGTTGAAAGAGTTGGGGATGTAGGTGGGAGTGGGCAGGTGCCAGCTGCAGTAGAAACCCTTCGGGTAGTTGTTGGACCGGCACATCAGTACTGGCTCCTTCGGGGGCACTGCAGTGGAAAGAGAAAGAGCAATTACCCATCGAGGTGGGGTTGTCACCAGGTCCTGAACAAGTGGATGTCCCTGTGCTCTCAACTGCTGCCAGCTCAAGCAGGGATATAGTTTGCAAGGAGAGCTGGTCTGTGTTTATGGTGGTTGGGGGATTTTGTCCCGTGTCTGCTAAGGTCCCTCACAAGACCTTGCTTTGGATGAGGCTGTGCACAGCAGCTCACCTCCTCCCGAGGCAGCTCTCCAGCTCTAATGGGAGGAGTGGCAGAGGAGGTTGGCAGGTACCGGGAGAATTGTCCTCAAGGCTGTGACAGAGATGTTGCTGATGGGGAGGAGGTTCTGCTCTCTCGACCCCATTAAGCTCCAGTGCTCACGGCTTTTTCTGCCACATCCCAGGGGAGTGATAAACGTGTTGAGGGATGATCTTCTGAAAGAGCAGAGGTCCTCAAATGGAGGAAAAAGGATCATTTCACTGAGGATGAGGAGAAACAACCTGAAACCAGCAGAGAAAATTCAGCTCTGCAGGACTGGCAGTGTTAACGCTTTCAGCAGTGGGGTAGAGCATCCCAACCCAGGGCCCTGCCTCCCAGGAGACATGGAGGCAGCTGGAGACAGGATGAGAGCATGCAGTGGGGAGCAGCCTTTCCCTGGCTCTGCCTGCCCATCCTAGAGGCAGAAGAGGACTTTAAACCCAACCAAGTGTTCACACTGCACTCGGTTTTCCCGGATGCATGTGCACTCTGTGCTCTTTGCAGGAGCACAGCCAGAGCTGCGGGAAGACTCTGTAAAATGCCAAGGGCTGGTACATGGGGGAGGATGAGATGTGATACCTTTCAGCTGATAAATGTTGCCCTTGTAGGTAGGTAAAAATCTTATCTGAACTGACACACCAAAGTCAACTCCTCTTGGTACCTGGACAATTGCATTGCTAAGAGCAGAGTTTGGCTCTAATACAGCACCTTGGCATGGTACCTCTTCATAAAATACACTCCCTGGGTGGTCTTGGTCACCTTCTTTGTAAGCCCTTGTCCCCATGCATCCACCCAGGATGTCCCAGGACATGCTTTTCTCTCCAAGCAGAGGTTTTAAAACAATCCTAGCAGACCTGGCAGCCTCAGTGCAAACACTGCTGATTACCACCTCGCTGTGGTCCCAGCGGTAACACACTATGTGTCTAGGAGCAGAGCAGGACCCTGGTGGGAAACAGGAGAGGGCCAACTCAGCTGGTTTGCTGTGAGCATGGACTGCCAGTGTGGACCACTGGGATCCTGGCATGGCATCACACAGCACAGCCCATGGTCAGAAAATAACAATGGGTTTTGCTAGAAAAGCTTTCGGAGGGATGCCATGCACTCCAGCTGCAGCATCATACTGCAGTCTACAGAAGGGAAAATGAGGCATAGGGCTTGCACACACATCGATGTCCCTGGGGCAGGGCTGTAGATGGAGCAAGCAGATGATGACAGACCCAAGGGCTGAAGAGTCAGGGAGCAGGGAGTGAGGAGAGGGAGAGGGAGAGGGAGAGGAGGGGGCCAGCAGAGAGGGGAGGCTGTGCCGTTCATCCTAATGGCTATTTCAGCCTTCAGTCAGCAGACGAAGGCCAGAGCCTGGTTAATGAGCCTCCCAGCTAAATTATTCAAGCAGGCCCTCCACAGCAAAGCAGAGTGGCTGTTTTCAAGGCCAGAGACAAGGGTGTGATCCTCACGAGGGCTCAGTCCTCCTCCTCCTTAACCCATTCTCTGCCCCGCAGCTGCCCCCGGGGTGAGGTGGGAGCAAACGCGGGGCAGCATTGTCCTTTGCAGGTGGCAATGTGTGTGTGTGTGTGTGTGTGTGTTTGGGGTTTCCCGGGAGGTGTTTCGGAGGGGTTGAAGGGGTGCAGGGGATTTAGGCACAGCCTTTGGGGTCCGAGCGACCGCGTGGTGGCAGTGTGGGCTCACAACACCCGCCTGGCAGCCGGCAAACCGGGCTGGGGGCTGGAAATAACTGCATGGAGCTGGGCAGGGAAGGATGCTGAAGATGCTGCCGTGGGCCTCTAGCCCACTGCTTGTGCTCGGCTGGAGCCAGCCAGGAAGCCGAGCAGAGGCTTCATCGAGCATCCCCAAAGTCCTGCACGGTCCCTGCCCGACGAGGAGGCTCAGTCCTACTCATGCAGTCCCAGATGCTGCACTGCTACTCAGCCACAATTAGTCCATCTGAGGATAATTTATCTCCCTTGCCTCCAGTATTACGTCGGATCCGGCTCTTGGTGATCGGTGCTAATTTCTCCACTGAGGAGGCTGGGGCAGGCTTGTGCCTGCTTTGCTGTGAGAAGTTTGGCTGCCCAAACTGCGTCCTGCTTCCATCCCTACTTTGCAGCAGCCTTTGAAGATGCCCCATTTTCACAGACTTGAATGTCTTGAAGATCCTGCCCTCTGGTGCCTTTTAGCAAGCCAGAGGTGGAAGGAGAGCCTGGTGAAGGGGGACAAAATGACCCCTGGTATCTCTGCCACCCTGGTGCCCATGCAGCATCCTCACCCCACTGCAGCTGAAGCAATGCTGCTGTAAGAAGCCTGTGTCACCCCAGCCATTGCCCTCTCCTTCTGGTCAGACACAAGCTATCTTTTGGGGACACTCCTGCCACCTCCATCTCTCCAAAGTGCCATCAGTATTATAGCCACAGGCAGGAGAATGGGAGGGGAATGTCATTCAACTGCCCTACTTCCCATCTTGATGGGCAGAAAGTCCACCTTATTGGAGAGCACAGGTCCAGTGCGATGTGCCACCTGGGGCTGTGACCATGACACCATGTGGGTGACTATGACCACGAACACCAGGTGCCATGAAGGAGAGGGTTGTGAGGCCCTTCTCAGCTGCCACAGTGCATCAGGAGGGCTATCTTTGCCCACCCTGCCATGCTGCCTTCCTCAAACTGGTGGCAGGGTCCTCATCTGCCCATAGGAGATGGTGGCTTGCAAACCTGTTCCTTTCCCCTCCTCTCCCAGGAAAGGCCCTTGTCGGCACAGCTCATCCTGCCCATCAAAGGCTCTTAAAGAGCGCAAATAAAATTGCAGGCTCCAATCGATCCGGCGCTCCATAATGCTGTCTTTGGAGATGGGCCAGCCTGTCGGGCTGATCAAGAGAGAAGAAAGGCAGCAGAGAAAAACAAAGCCATCAAGGGAGCATTGAAGGCTTTTTCTGCCGGTTTGGGCAGTGCCTCTGGGTGCGCGGTGTCCCTCTCCTCCATCCTCCCTAGGCTGATGTTCAGCTCTCAGACACTGCCCAACACCGAAAACAGCCCAACCAGCACATTGCCTCTGTGCAGGCACTTCTCCCTGGGCTCCTGCATGCAGCCTCGCTAATCCCGGCAAATATTTACTTCCCCGTTGCCTCACGGAGCAGCCGAACTCTGTAAAGGCAGAGCTCCTTCCCTTTCACCGCAAACAGCGCCTGCCCTCTCTAATCTGTCTATTAACCTCTCGCATGGCAGGAAGCCACTTCTCCCGCGCGCTCTGCTGATGTCCTCTCTGCAAACCCGGTGTGTTTAATACCCGGTCGTGGTGGCTTCCCAGAGGCTTGGGCTGCCACCAGCCTTGCTGCAAATGCTTGAGGAAAGGGAATAAAAGGCCGTGTCAGACCCAGGCGCATCCCACCCAGGCACGCTGCTGTGCAATGCTCTAGCAAAATTTGGAGCTGTGGCAGGCAGCAAAAGCTGGTGCCAGGGTCATCATCTCTGCAGAGGACCAGTGGCAGGGACAGGGTTGGCTTTCCCAGCACAGTGCTCCAAGCTTTGCATCCATTTGACCGCTGTCTCTCTGGCTTGTTGGAAATAGCTGTCGCTTGACCAGGTCCAGCATCTCTGCCTGGCTGGAGAGAGCACAACAAGTGGTCCTGAAGGATGAAACAGCTCTGGATGCATCAGCACAGGCACAAGTTTTTTGTCTCCTTCCTCATCTCAAAGCCCGGTCGTCCTTGTACGCTGAGTCCCACTGCACAGGGGGAAGAAGTGTGACCAATCCATTTTAGACACCACTAAAAATGATCTACAATAGCTTTTCCTAGCCCTGCTAGGTCATGAGATAATGGACATTAAAATCATGGCATTTTTATATATAGAAAAGTTATTTTAGGTCATTTTTAGAGGTTTCTGAAATGGATCAGTTATAATTTTCCTCTCCTGCTGAGGGCTGAACGTACTAAAGATGCCTTGCTCCACAGGTGGAGGGACACAAAAAATAGTACCAATAAAAGTTTTAAAAGGCCTCTCAAAACACTTCTGTAGGAAGTGTTTCTTCTGGTGCACTCGAGGCATATTCAGGCCTTAGAGGATGCTGATCCTGCAGTGTAGCTGTGGGGTCACCTGCATAACTCATTGTACCAGTCTGGAGCCAGCAAAGCCTGCAAGGTCCATGGCAGCAGCGTGTGCTCATGTTAGGACTACAGCCATCACACAGTCAGCCTGCATGTGGGCAGGACCCCCGTGTCACCCCATGCTGGGTGACAACCCCATCACCGATGTTGTTTTCCTGCCAGATGCTTGCTGTTAGCATCCTGCAGGATCGCTGCCCCCTCTCTTGCTTTACATGCCCTCCTCATCCTCACCCACTATTTTGGCACCACAGCCATGACCTTGCAGGCAGTGGGTGTGTGCCCACAAGTAAAAAGGGACCCAAAAGCAAAGCTGCAGAGGCTGGAAGGCACAATGGGGACCCACCCAAGTGGGAGATGACAGCCCCAAGCACACACACCCTGCACGTCTGCGCACGCACCTAGGCCGATGCTTTCCTTACGTGCATGCCAGCTGCAAGCACGATGTATTATTTATCTAACGTCGCTTTTCTAAAATTTCCTGTGTACAGCAAGCTGGTAGGACACAATAAAACAGTGATGAATAAATCATATTTTTACTGCCCAGCGGATCAGGGTAGCATCCGCCTGCCATGCACCACCTGTGCTGGAGTGCAGCATAGCTGTGGTCGGGGATGGACCCTTCCACTGCTCCAAATCCTGGGACGTGGCTGTGTTT